GAAGGGACGGTAGTAGTGACATAGGGAGGTGAGGTGGATGCAATGTTTCAAGACATTACTCGTGTGACCCAATCCCCCAATTCTTGGAGGGCAATGTTTCTTTGATGTTTTTCTTGTTGACTCAATCCCCCAATTCTTGGAGGGCCATGTTTCTTTGATGTGTTTTTCTTGTTGATCTTTGCAAGGAAATGGAAGAAGCCGATGCAGCTACGGCTGCTGAGATTCTGAAAGGAAGCTTGAAGGCCAATCCTTTCACGCAAGGATTGCTTGTGCAGTGCCTTCGCAGCCTAGACAAGGAGGCCCGTGGCAAAGATGGTAGAGGACGATGGAAGGAGACTGCAAATGACACCCAGCGACAGCTCGTACGTGATTCAGCGATGACCCTGGCCATGTGTCGGAGCAACCCAGCATTATGCAAAATTTGGGGGAATCGTTACGCGCCCCCCGTTTCCGGATGGAAGACTTGAACCCCCATTCTTTGCCAAATCCCACGTTGGCATTGGCAACTGGACAGGAAGAGCGTTTGCAGGAAAACCTACGCCTCATAGACCAGAGATGCACTCCTTCCCCGGAGGGACGACTGGTGGTCGCTATAGATTGCACGTACCTTTTGAGGTCATTCAGCCAGATGTCCATGTCGGATTCCCACGGCCTGGTAGGAGGTGCTTGGAGCTCTGAAAAGGAAGAGTCTGCTTTCATTGCCTTTGACAGCGAGGCCATGAAGCAAAGGACAAATGCCAACAAGGCGGCTCTGATGTGCGAATTCCTGGTGTGGGACCCGAAAGCTGCGCACCGCCAAGCATGGTCTTGCGCGTCCATGCCGCTCCAAAGAAAGACAATGCCGACACACAGGTCCAAGCTGGCAATTGGGACGCTTTGATAGTTTTGGAGTCATGGGTTTTAGACTTTTGACATCTTTTGACTACTTATTTATATTTATTTTGACTTATTTTTCTATTTTCTATGCTTTTTGTTTTCATTTTCTTTATATATTAACCTATACTGAGGAGATGTTGCTGACCGTCGGGCGATTCATGGAATCTGCATCCTGGCTGGTGAAAGGCGTCATTTTTGATGCCCACAAAAGCCACGGCTTCTTCCGAGAGGCCCTGTTCGGTCACTTTGTGACGCTTGATCCGGAAAAGATTGCTCTGCACGAGGTGGCGTTCTTTAAAGATTGCAAGTACGAGAAGCTGCCACCGCACAACCTACCGAGATTGCCCCTGAGCATATGCACCTACAAAGGCAAATCGGTGTTTTGTTTGCCTGGCGCATGCTGCTTGGTTTGCTTCCGGTGATACCTTGTTTAATCCTTTTTATGCCTAATATTTTAATTTTGTTTTTCATATTTTTAAAATTTTAAATATATTTTTGGATGTTTTTTTATATGGACAATTTTCTATTCTGCGTCAGGCTGTGTTCCTGATTTTGATTCCTTTCAGGTCACGCAATGAAAAATGCTGCTGGTGCCCTGTGCAGTCCTATCAGGACAATGCGGTTCGGCAAACATTGGACGGACTCATCCCTTGCAAGATCCCATGGTTTGCCACCAATGGCGTACCGGCGCGCAGAGCCTATGTCGGACAGCTTAAATGCCACCCTTTGGAATCCATATTACGCCATACCAAGCACTGAAACTCGTGATTTGCTTATTGATTGTTTATGCTTTATGATTGTCACTGATTGTTCAGGGCTTTTGGGGGAGAGGTACCTGTTCTACGGTCTTGTCATGTCTTGTCAATGTTGAGGACATTGCGATGAGCCTAGCAGAAGTACCCTGGGCTCTCCGTGGCTTTGTCCTGCTGAATTTTAGCATCTCGCTCACGACAGTGGCTTGCGGCTGGTTTCAGAGAAGTTCTATAGGTGTTGTTTGATTGTGTTTAACTTGTTGTAACTTTTCTACGTGTGTTTTTTCAATATTTTTTTTTTGCTTTTGTCGTTTCCTTTGTAAGGCACCTGCAGGACACACCACCATGGACTTGAAGCACCGAGTGGAAAACTCGCTCACTGGATTCCTGCTGCTAGACTTGTTTCGTCTACGGGCTCAAGTATTTTGCAAAAAGAAGCGCCTTCCTCTCAATGCGGCTTTCCTGCACAAAGACACGCTGGAGAATCTCCAGAATGTTGCTCTGGGAACGATTTCAGTGGGCATCACCAAAGATCCAGAAGGCAACCCATGCCAAGAGGGGCACTTGAGGATGACGGATCGCTATTGAACAACACTTTGGGAAGGTGAGGTTGCAGAGTAGCTCAGCGCAGCTTACATGTCGCTCATACTGGCGATGTTGCGCCAGAGACATGATGAAACGCGTGGCTCAAAGGGTGGCCACAGCAGAAGCTCCAAAGAAGACAGTCCTTGAGCCACTGAGCAATGCGGAGTTTGCGCAGGTGTGTCAGAGAGCACTGGACAGCGCCCTAGCTTTGGTCGCTTGGTGCAGCGGTACCAGCGCAGCCTCTCTGGACAAATCTTATCGGCAGTGGTGTGAGGACCCTCGTGTGGAGGTGGACGATGAGGACACAGACGATGATTGCCAGTTTGATACTGATTTTGATGACGTGGGCAAGGAACAGGAGGAGACGCAAGAGATCCAGAAGCTTGTGACCCACATCACTTCGGAAGCTGGTATGGAAGGAGAGATCGCAGAGCAGCCTGATGAGCTTTCCGTGGACCTTGGAAGAATCGCAGAAGTTGATGACTTCAAAAGCATTTTGCTTGAGGCCGCCAATGAGGCGCCCGCAGACTTTCCAGCTCCTGCTACCCTCTTCCAAGCCTTGCAAGACTTCTTGTCGGAGTCCAAGGAAATTCGCACTCCTACGCCCGAAGTGGACGTCTTTGACAAGATCTGGCGGTTGATCATGTACATGAGGCACTGGCGGGGAGGATTTGACCGGCGCTGGATCAAGGACCCACGCAGGTGTCGTGTGAAGACTTCTGGCCTCAACTGGTACCAGAGCCGAATGTCAGGGGATTAAGGTATATAGAATTGGGAGCTTGAGGACTTGTTTTGGGGCTTTAGCGCTATAGAATTGGGATCTCATGAAGCATCTCGATTTCCATCGACTTCCAATGTCTGATTCCTGGTCACTGTTGCCTGAATGCCCAATTCTAAAAAGAAGACCACAAAATTGGATACTGCAGGGTCCTTGATTTTTGAGCGTTTGTGTTTGTATGGCCCCCAGGATCTTGATTTTTGACAGTTTGTTGTCGCCTTTTTTGCATCTCAGGTGGAATGAGATGAAGCTGAAGGAATTACGTCAGCAGGAGGGCGCCCACATGATTGCCCAGCGTGCATCGCGGTTGGCCATGCGCGCAGAGCAGGCTTTGGCGGAAGAGACCCCTGGCCTGAAGGCTCCTGACAGGATTGAGACACTGGTTTCAATTCGATCCTTTTTCACACGTTTTTGAATTGACATGTATGTCTTGTTTATTTTTGTTTGTCCCCGGGTTCCGGGTTGCACCTGCTTACTGCCAATGTCAGGAGTGGCAACATCCTCATTGTGATGATCCCCAACGCCGACGGTCCTATTCCTGTCTGTTTGGCAAAATTTGAGGAAGCCAAGGCTGTCCACCTCTGGCGTTGGCATAGATCATGTGGTTGCGGCCCGCGTGGTTGAGATGATTCCTCAAGGGCCGCGTCGTTATTGTTGCAGGGCTGACTCGGAAGCTTGGGTTATCCGGCCTGTTCTTCTTGCAGCCGTGCTTGAAGCAGTTGAAGGCAGGTTGGAGAGCAAGGTTGAGGGAGTGAGCATTGCTTTGTCGGATTCTGCCATGTTGCATATCGACCGCATGCCTGAGTTGGCCAAACGCTGGCCCATCAATGACTCTGACCAAGAGGATGGTCAGAAGGCACGCTCAAATTCTCATTTGTATGGCCGCGCGATCCCAGGGCAACGGCTGAAAGCACGCGGCCAAGTTGGCAGCAAAGGCCGCGGCAAAGGTGGTCGTGGCCGTGGAAAAGGCCGCCGGAAAAGTGGTCGCGGCAGAGGTGGAGGTGGAAAAGGTCAGGGTGCAGATGGTGCCGGTGATGTGCCAGAAACAGAGGATGCCGAGCGTGCCATGGAGGATGCCATGGTGGAAGCCGAGCCTGCAGACGGAGAAGCAGCTCCAGTGACTCAAGTGAAGAAGGGTGCTGCGGTGTTGGATGATACCGCTTCTCAATTCAAGCCGGAGAACCTGAAGCGAACAGTTCAGGGACAAAAGATGATCCAAGAGGTCATGGACAGGCTACGTGTTTTGGACGGAAAGAAATTTGGCTCACAGGCGCTCCGGAATGAGCAGGACAAGTGCGTTGTGAACGTTGGAAAGATGCGCCATGAAGAGCGGCAAAGGTTCAAGCAGAACGCATTCCTCTACATGAAGGGGTGTACTGCAAGAAGGTTGGCTTGCAGTGGGGCACCTGCGCGCAGCGAGTTGCCAAGAGTCTGAGTGAGGGTACTCGAAGGCCTTGGCTGAACCTCCCACAGGCTGTGTTCTAAGACTTTTCTCTCACACTTTTCACGAATGCAGTTGCATGAGAGAGCAGATAGGAGAACAGACCGGATAGCAGACGGCAAGGAAAGAGAGAAAAAGAGTGTGGGCTGCAAGTTTGCAAACATGCAATGTTCATCAATGTTCCACTCTAGTTTTGAGAGCTTGAGGCCATCCTGTCCCCTTATAAATGGTCAAGAATAAGGTGGCTTGAGGCCATCCTGTCCCCTGATAGATGGTCAAGAATCAGGTGGTTTCTCACCCCAAAGATATCATAGTTTTGTTGTTGTGGCTAGTGTGCTCAGGCCCCTTGAATTTATAGAAACCATATATTGTTTATATAATTTTTTGGAACATATCTGTCTGTTCTTGGGAGCTCGATTCTATACTTCTCTCATTTTAGTTGCACTCTTGATTCTAGACTCAAATGAGGTTATGTCCACAGATTTAGGTTTCTAAAGTGGGCTGCGCTGACCTACTCCTGGAATCTGCATGGGGATGTTTGTTCGATTAATTCGAATTGCATGCTAAGGCTGGTGCAAGCATGCTGAAGAAGGCACATGGTGCGTGTGCCTTCCTCAGCAGCTTGACTTGGGGTGGATTCAGATTTGCTGAAGCTTTTTTTGGCACAGTTGCTCCTGGTGCCTGGCAGAATGCTGCAGGTGAAGACGCGTTCTTTATGGATGCCCATGCGCTTGGTGTGGCTGATGGAGTCGGCTGCATGGCAAGGGATGCCCAGAGTGTGTCTTTGACGGACCAACAAAACCGGACAACGGCAAACTGGGACTCCTGAGGTGCAATTCGCAAGCTATGGAATCAATGCTGCCCAGTATGCAGCCGAACTGCACGGACCTCAGGGGATCAACTCAAGGAACGAGAAGAAGACGAGTTGAGTCAAGATAAGATCATGTCACTTTTCTCCAGAACGTGTGAGTGAAAGGTTCACTGTAAAATGCTAAAGAGCTTGAACAAAAAGAAAAGGAACTGCTTCGCCCTGTGAACGAGTTGAACTGTGTTGATAGGTCCAAAGCAGGAGACACCAGGCGATGAACACGATGACACCAACAAGGTCTAGGACCTAACGCTTGTCCCTCCATGGTCCACCTCACATGAAATGTTGCTGGAGCCGACCAGGCAACACAATAATGTATGCATGCATGAAGCACTGACAATATAGACATGGAAGCGCACAAAAACAAGGGTTGTAGGGCGCCGCTGTTAGAACCTCACAGTGTGTGCTTTGCAAACGCTGCATAGGCCAAACCCCACCAAGAGCATCTTTGACATGTCGGTGTGTTTTGAGTGTTTCACATTCTTTTTTCATTTGTTTTGTGCACACGTAAACTGCAAACATGTCATCCGCAAGTGCATCCTCCGCAGGGGTTCCGTGCGTTCCTTGCGTTCTTTCGTACCCCGCGTTCCGTGCCAGAATGGAGTGCGCTTCCAAAGCTCTCAAGCCGGTGACCTGAGACAGTCCTCAGTTTGGCTTTTGTAGTCCTGAACAGTAATGTGATTTAATTTACGTAATTTTACGTGTGTATATATATATATTATGCTCACATATTTTCACAACGATTCACCTTCAACTCTTTGCCCAGAGCTGCTCCGCTGAGGGACGACGGGCTTGCCTCAGAAAACAAGATCGCCAGTGGCTCCTGGCAGGTTTGATGAGACCGAACTGTATTCAAGAATATTCAGGATGTGGACCCCTGATTTTGAGATGACCAGGGCATACCCGCGGGCCGTACAGGGCAGAACCCCCCGAACCCGTTGATGTTCGATTTCGCACGAGTCACGAGTCGCCAGATGATGTGGCCCTCCGCGCATTGACAGCCGTGCTTCATGCGGAATCGCATGCGGCGGTGGAGAGCTCAAAAACTGCTGGATGCTGGTAATAGCGCCATACGTGTACTTAGATTCAGGTTGAAGGGAACATATTGTTTACGATCCCAATCAGATTAATTATATAGTCTTGAATGGAACAGAAAGTCTCACATCATTGGGCTCAAACCAAGAACAACAAACACAAATCAAATCAGTTTCAAGCGAAAAGCACATCACCACGTTTTCTTCGCCCATGCAGTGTGCGTTTTTTTCGGCGGGTCCATTCCATGACCCCTTTTCCGTGCGGAGCCTCGGGGTCGAGGCCTACGGAGCCTCGACAGTGGCCGTGCTGTGCCAACAAGGCCGCCTGAAGTCATGGTCATAGATTTTTGGACGTTAGGAGCAAGGACGCTACTAGTAGCCCCTGGCCATACTACTAGGAACAAGAAGCTACTAGGGGCTCCTGGCCTTACTACTAGGAGCAAGGACGCTAAATGCCTTTCTTTCTGTTATGTTCTACGCATCTATCATATGCTAGGACAGTGGAACTTAAGCTTCCACTGCGCGTGATCAACATTTGAACAAGACAAAACACTCTAACGCATTGGCAAACCACATACGGGAAACAGGAAACACATAGAACAAGGAACAGGAAACACGACATGAATTGGGTATCCCTTTGTTCTTTTTCTTCTTATGCTTTGTCGTTTTTCTAAAGCCTTTGTTCCCACTCTTGTGTCACTTACTGTATTAACTTGATAGTTATTCTGCGATTTCCAATCTCAAGCTTCATTTGGCAGAACACATCTTCCGAAATGGAATCCAATCGTAGGAGCTATGCTTCTGAGTTCAAGCCAACGTTTGCAGCTAGATGTGCATTGTATTTTTGGCCAGGTGCTTTCGTCGGTGTGGCAAACCTTGGCGACTCGGGTGGGCCGCTGAAAGCTTCGACTGTTTTTTGGGCCTTGGGAGAACAACGAGAACACATGTCCGAGGATTCATGGTGCTCCGCAAGGGCACGCATGGCTACTATGTCTTGGCAGCCCAGTTTTATCTTCTGAGCGCGGTGCATGATTAACAATTTTATTTGCACAGATGGCAGTGCCCTTGCAGTGATTTGCAGTGATGAGGTTGTGCTCAAGTCCGAGGAGCAACAACACAGCTGGACACTTCTTCAGTTGAAAGGCTTATATAACCTTTTATTTTCTGTCTGTATCCTTCTGTCTCGGTCTGAATGTGAACCCTGCCAAGATCGCATACTATTCGTGGCTGCCAAGGAATTGCCCCTACCAGCTAACCCGCCTCCCAAAGGCTCGAAATGCGACAATGAGTCTTTGATTCTTTGGTGGCCTTTTGCATTGTTTTTGCTGCTCAGACCTTGCTGACACGGTTCCCAAAGCTGCAGCTGGACAAAGCCAAGGACTGTCTGGATCTAAGGAAAAGGAATGCTCACCCCAGAGAGAGAGAGAATCGCTTTCGTAACTGAGTTTTGATGTGAGCCCCAGATTTGCAACTGTTTGGGGATATTTCAGTGCCGTCACGTACGAGTCTTGCCCAGGTGAGACATACACAGTCCCGATCAAGGAGGCAACTTAGCATTCCTGCTTTGAGTTTCCTCAACAGCATATTGACAACAGAGGTGCTTTCTTCAAGACCCGGGCTTCAAAAAACCAGTTCATGGAACGAAATTAGTGACAAAGGGCATAGCTACTAGGAGCAAGAAGCTACTAGTAGCTCCTGGCATTACAGTACTACTAGTAACAAGAAGCTACTAGGAACAAGGGCATCGCTATGTAACCCAGGCTTCGAACCGGCTGGTGCCAGGGCGATTTGGTCGTGATGTTCTCTGACGGACTTCGCGACAACTTGCACGACCGCGAGGTGCTTGAGCAACCCTTTTGACCCAACATGGCCTGAGCAGCCTTGACTGCTAAGACTCCATGTTGCAGCTCCAATACAACTGCACCACAGAACAGTCCTATTTTACCATCAAGCGGTGGGCCCTTTGTTTTTTTCAGTGCGTGACAAGAGAACCACGCCGTTGATGGAAGACATCATGCATGTCTGATATTCAAAAGTGGCAGCGCAACGCTTGTTTTTTTGGCAGGTGATTTGTGAGAGTGATTTTTGACCATGAAGAGTGGAATGGTTCCTCTATTCAACCATTCCATGGCTCTTTTGGTAGCTGGAAGAGCTTTGTCCTTCAGGCCAATGAAACTTGGAAGATTTTCCCAAAAACATTCCAAAGCAGCATGGTCCCATGGTGCTTTAACATGCTTTAACAGCATCGGATCGTTAAAACCTACAGGTCATCAGCATCGTGAACCGATGCTTGGCACCCCCTTTCGCAGCCGGGGGCCCTAAGAAAAGCAAGTGCCCCTTTCCGTGCGAAACCCTACTCGACAATGAAACCCTACTGCACATGTGCACTTGTACAAAATGATCAGAGCATATTATGAGACAAGCAGCAATTGTGGCGCGCTGTGTCAATGCCCAGCGGGTGGGAGTACATTGTTGCGCCTCCCAGGACATGGTCGGACTGCTTGACCGTTGCACGCCTGCTCCCTACGTGCATTTGCACAACCGGACCTAATCTGATTTTTTTTTTTTTCAACTATATAATATGATAAAGTCATTTTAAAGATTTTTAGGAATGTAATCACTTTTGTATTGTTGTATCTATATATTTATGTCCATGTATACATGTGCATAGGTGACATGTGCAATTTATTCAATGTAATTGCTCAGTGCAGAAGAGCCACTCAACTGAACTTTAAGGCCACCCGAGACAGTCGCGAAGGCCCTCGCACTGGCTGCACAGGAGAGAAGTCTTGATCCAACCGCTCGCGCCCGGGCCCCCACAGGGCAGAAGGCAATGGCCTCCAATCTAGTAGGAATGGCCTCCATCCTACTAGCGATGGCCTCCATCCTACTAGCGATACGCTCCAACCTAATAGCCACAAGGAATGAAAAGGGACATACGATGTTGAACGGTTCACTTGTTTGCCCATCAGGCATGAGGAGCTGCGACCAGACATTTGAAAAAACATAGTTTTGTTGTTTGTGTGCTCACCGCCCGCAGACTCTCCGAAGAGGATTGTTGTTTGATCATGTCGCACCAGTCTTCGCAATCCAGGTGCCATTCGTCGATTACTCGAAGCGCCACGGTTTTGATTGCATTGGCGGGCGGGTGCCTTATCACTCTTCACTGCTTTCCTTCAACATCCCTTTTCTTCGCCCGGTGTTCTCCATTTGAGGAAGCAGGACGACATCACAGTCGTGGCAGCCTGGGCCGGCTTCCTGGAATGACCGGTCGATCCACTGACGTCGTTTGCATGGAACGCAGCGAGGTGGTGCTGGATGAGTCCAAGCCGGGTCTGGCGCCTTAGGAAAAGAGGGACGTTTCGCCTCCACTTTGGTTCCTTTGGGTCGTCTGGACCCCCTCATTCCTGACGAGTCGCCATCGCCTGAGATCCCGATGCGTTGGATATCGATGAGTTGCTGGATGACATGCTCATCGCTGAAGAAGAAGCCGAGGAGCGAGCCTTGCAGGCCAGCAGACAAGTAGGATGTCATCCAGATCTTGCACCAAGTTAAATATGGTCCTCAATTAACCTGTGTACTGTACTGTATACCATTTCTTCCTTGTCATAAACATGCTGGAAGCCCAGAAAAGTTTCAAAGAAAAGCAACATACCTAGAACCTCCTCTTGGGCAGACATTTTCTGCCTATTATGGATAAAGGCGTCTTTGCCTGTGCTTAGGTTCTTGCCCCCTGTATGCGTTCCCCCTCTAGGCGTTCTTGTCCTTTTGGTAGTATTGCTCAAATAGATGAGGATCCACCCACCACTGGTCACACCGGTCGCCGGATGTCGCCGGTCGGTCCGAAGGGCATCGCCGAGAGCAGCAACTTCACCGTCGAGACGACCACTGAGCAGGGGACGGAGGTGGAGGCAGGAACTCAACAAAGCCAGGAAGGACAAGTCTGGATCACCTGCACCTTTTTTGGGGGAGTGGTTTGTTTCCCCTACGAAAGCAAAACAGGTAGAAAAAGATCTTCACCTTGATTTTCCAGGGAAACTGATTATATCGGGGAGTTTAGCTGGCATCATGGACATGAAACATAATACGCATACAACAACTGCACGTTTGGTGGAAGTCCGGTGAGAGAAACACATAGAAACACCCGGGACCTTCTGGGTGTGTGGGTGTTTGTGTGCAGCATCTCGCAGGATTCTGAGACACTTGTGAGCGGGTATTTCAAGAGCGATGGCCTCCAACCTACTAGTGATAACCTCCAGCCTAGCCCCAAAGCTGGCAACATCGAAGACCCATGAACAATTAGAAGAACACTCATCAATGCTGTCCTCAGCCCCAATGCTCCCAGACGCTGGTTGGTACAGGCAAACTACCTGACTTCATGGAAGTGGATGGCATGGCCCCTTAGATTACCATGAAATCCTCCACAAGTTTTCCACTTCCATGATAATTTCAAGGAGTGTTTTGCGGATCGGGGCGTCAAGACACCCCGAAACCCGGGGTGTCTGCAAACCAGTTCGGAAAAACACGGAAAGCGGAGCAGCATTTCTTTGCTGCAGGGTAGCCAGATCAGCTGTTTGTTTGCTGGTTCCATTGCACACTACGCAAAAGACATGTAAACGGCAGAGAAAACAAGTAACCTTAATTACACTTGTCGGACCTAAGTCTGTCATGGTTTTTACAATGTTTTACGCACATTACCCAAAAAGACTACCTGCCCAAGTCAAACGGCAGAGAAAACGCAGCCAAGTGGACCAACATCGTCGCAAGAAAGTAAAATAACAGCAGCAAAGCCTTCAACATAGATCCCACGGCCCCAATCACCTCCAACATACCGCCTCAAAAAAGCCCCAACACTGTTCGAAACGTGCCAACATGGAGAAGGATATGCCCGAAGAATGCACCAAGATCGCCGAAGATTGGCACAAACATGCCCCAAATTTGACCGCCGCTTTCGTAAGCAACAAAAACGACAAAAATAACTGTCAAAGCCACCTTTCTTACACTTGTCGGACCTCATTTTTTCATATTTTTTCATGTTTTTTTTTTTTTACGGTGTTTTACGCACACTACGCAAAAGACCGCCTGCCCAAGTCAAACCGCAGAGAAAAATCAGCCAAGTGGACGAACATGGCCGCAAAACAAGTAACATAACAGCAGCAAAGCCTTCAACATAGCCCTGATCTAGACCCCACGGCCCCAATCACTTCCAACATACCTCCAGGAGAAGCCTCAAGAGAGCCCACTCCAGGACTCGCTGGAGGCTCCGATTTCCGATGAAAAATGAGAAATCATTAGAAATCCGAATTCCAGGAATTGTGAATTCCACCTCACCATGATTGTTCCAGGGAGTGTACGCGTCTCTCGCAGGGTGTTCTGAGTGCGAGATTGAGATCCTCCTCCTTTAGCCGCGACCAGGTCACCGAGGAGACGTTGCCGCCCTTGACGACAACCCCTGAGCTGTGAGCTGTGACGGGAGCGGAAAAAGTGTGTTTTTCCAAAGCCGTGAATGCAAACATGATAGAAGATACAGCACGGAGTGTTGTCCAGGTCATGAAGAGAACAGAGCCACTGACCTAGGTCGTGATGACCGTGTTTCACAAGTTGCTACTGCTAAAGGCAACAGAGCACAGTCGTGACATGTCCTGTTGGTCTATTTGTCTATTCATGGCATGAACATATACTCTTACATCCTAATATATAATTGGCATCACTTGAGAGATGATGTGCCAACATCATGTACCACCACGGGACATGTTGCTGATTCGCCGAGCGTCACCGTTTCACGAAGCAACTCGCGGAAAAGGGGAGGGGGCAGAACCAAGGTCCTCGCTCAGATTTTGGTTTCATCCATGAGGAAAACGGAAAACATTTGCAGTCTGAGTTTTTTCATACGACAAATCGAATGAGTTGTTTTTTAACAGTGAAAATCACTTTCTTCAAAACTTAGTCTCGACTGCATGGATCAGACCACCCCAGCACTGGTTTCAAGGTGATAAATCAGGCTTTACATTTTATACAACATCTGCCGCACGCGCATATTGGTGTTCTGTCTCAAAATGAAGGCTTCATGAAATCCACAGGAGCCAGGCGGGGAGAAATTTCAAACTACCCAAGTTATCGCAATTGTTTGTTTGTGTTTGCTGTGGGACCGTTCTGAGAAGTTGTTGATGTTGTTCTACGCACCGGAAGAAGTCGACATGTGGAGTGTTGGCGGGTGGCAGGTGGAGACGTTTGCATGTAGGGCATGAGTGTTTCATCAGATTTTGCCTTTTGATTGGTTTTGTATGATTTCAGCAAAGCACAACATCTGTCTCGTAAGAAGGCCTTCATGTTCCCAACAACCCGACTTGAGCATGAATTCGTTTGTGCATTCACTAGGTTTCCAATCTTTTTCCTTGTGCTCTGTGCGACGGACTTCCCAACCGCTAACCCTCCTAAGCAGCTCAGATCACCAGGCTTCCTCTTGGAGTTCCTATGCCATGGCGCATCTATGGCCGAAAGCCTTCCGCACCTCGATGGAGATCTTCCTGGAAATGCGAGAAGGGAAACCATTTCCTACAGAATAAAGGGGGTATTGACCTGAAAGAAGAGGTTTCGTAGGCAATTCAAAGGGGGGGGTTGAAGATTTCATTTGTGGAACTTCCTGTGGTTTGTGCAGCACCTTTCAGTGGTTGTGATGGGTTTCTACAATCATTGAAGTGACAAACTTGGAGTTTGGCAAAGATGGGGAGGGGTTCTTGCAAAGATCTTTCATGCAGGTGTAGGTGTCCCTTCAGCAGTAAGGCGGTTTGACGTGCTGAACTCAGAAGTCCGGGGCGAACTGGACGGAGCTTGAGAGCGACAACCAGTGTGATTGGAGGTGAACAAGAACACTTTTTCACGCTTGCGGATGTGGACTTTTGACATTCGTTGGTCATTGGTGCTTTTCATCAAACTAAGCAAGGCATCGAGCAAGTGGCTGGTTACTGCTGGAGCGCTTCTTCCTCAGATTTTCGAGGTTTGGGAACACTTGGGAAAAGTGCTGTGTGATAGAGATCTCCACGGTCCAAGTTGAAATGAACTTCACCATTTTCGGTTTAGAAAGTGCACTTGGAAGTTTGCTGATCATGTGCACAAAATTGCACAAACCCAGGACCACCGCCATCGTCATGCGAAGAGATGTCCTGAGTTTGATCCTTACTATTGGGCTGGAGGCCATTGCTACTAGCCGCTATGAGACGACGAGCTGTCGCTGGTCTATTTGAGACATGTCTAGGTTGGAGAAATGGCACCCTGGCACGCGGCTATCGCTGGAGGTCCTTACATCACCTTGGGTGGGATAGCCGCATCTTTTGTGACGAAGCGGATCAAGTGTGACGCCCAGCTTTGAAACAGATGGATCACTTTGGCACGGAGCCTGTTGAGACGTCAATACCCCTCACATCTCTTCACTGCAAACAGCCAGGACTCGTTTTTTCAAGTTTTTCTTTCCTTTGTTGACCACTTAACCTCTCAGACTCGACGAGTTCGACCTGAAAGAGGAGTGAACACTCGGCTTAAACGGAGAAGCCGAGGCGTGTGGTGAAGCAGCAACGCCCAGAGGGATCACCCTTTGATGACCCGGGGATGCCTTCGTCACATGCCTTGGTGCGGAGACTCCACCCCGCGACCGCGACCGCGAAAGACGGAACCCGGTGGGTGAAGGTGGTTAAACCTGGTGCCAAGCTGCGTGCTGCATTCAAGTGGGGTGAATTTGGGAGAAGGTAATTGTTTTGCACATTGCTGAGGTTTGCAAAGTCTCAGTCCCATTTTCAAACCATTGGGTCAGTTCAGAATTGGACCAAACTCCCAACCAAGATAGGTGGCTCTTTTCATGCTGGACATGTTGAGACATGTCGTGTATCATTGATTACAGGTCTACACCAATCAATACTGTAGGGCACTGTAGTAGGGGATGATTTCATTCAACCAAACCCTTATGGTCCCCCACGGGGATGGCCCTTTTTTATAGGGAGCTTTTGCGGTTCTTTCTGCATGTTGATCATTCTGATTCATTTTGTATGAATAAGCAAGGAGCGGAGCGCTTGTGGTGCATTGACTTGGACCTTCTGGGCCTAAAGCGATGTTTGAGCCTCCGTCTCGCTGGAGTGCTGCGACTTCACAAAATCGTACAGGTCGCCACCTTTATGGCAGTCGCTTGGGCACTGCAACTTCAGCCTGAGACTGAATGCTGAAGGATGACCGACAGCATTGGGCAACACACTTGCATCAATTAGTGGAAATGTTGTCTTAGAGACTTTTTGAGACACGCAACATTGCTACACGTTGTACAGCTGATCGTTGTGCAGGTAGGCACTCCAATGAATGCATATACGTGCACCATCATACACCATGTGCAAAACGCAGGCACTCACTCCGTGAATGCCACGTGCAGGATATTGAAGCCCGCTTTGTGAATCACACGCAAAGCATGTCAGACAGTACCTACCACAATGGGGGGTACCTTGGTTAAATATTCCAGGTTATACCGTGAGTTCACAGAATATTTTTTGTGGATTATTTTTACAGGAATATTTATGGCTGGAGGTATGTGATACTGATAGTGGAGACAAACCCCAGAATATTTTTTTTATGAAGAACATGTTGGAGGAGTGATGAACAATGGGCAATCCTGAGAAGAAGGGTGGAACTATACCCAGAATAGTTATTTAAACAAAACTAAAACTATACCCTGGAATATTTAATCAGATCTGGTGCGGTTTCGCTCGGAACACTGAATGCTTTTCGTATTCTGTGATTTCTGTCGTCGTTCTCTCGAGATCGATCGTGCGGATTAACAGGTTGACACATTTCACAGGGATAGTTTGGTAAACGTACGATAATTGTGATATTTTTGGTTGGTATCAAAGATTACTAAAGGAGACCACAGGCTCATTGGCTCATTTCAACATATCCGATGATTGTTGGAGTGTAGTTCAAAATAGTTCAAATATTCTATCAGTATCCTTGGGGTCACATACCCCTCGAATAAAATAAAAAGTGTGAGAAAGAACTACTCAAGTGTTATCAATCAGGTTTGTTTTGATATGTTCAGCTATGTTCAACATGGTTCCACTCACACAGAAGTAGAAGGATTTCGAAAGGGAAAAAAATCAGAGGACAAACATTGACTGACTTGAGGGTCGCAGAAAAAGAACGCATATTTGTCAGAGCGCGCTTCTCATTTGGCTGTTTGTGAGAAGGAGGGTGGAACTATACCCAGAATATTTATTTACAAAATCTAGAATTTTTCTGGAATATTAAATTCATACAAGTATTCCAGTAACTGGTCAGTTCACAGAATATTTTTTTAGATATAACTGGAAGTATATAGGAATATTTAAAAAATATTCTGCAAGGTCTCGACGTGGGTAGGTATCTAAGGCACCCGCCATCTACCACAGGGCTAGGGCAACAGAGGAGCCTGGAGCAGTGAACTTGTGTACAAAATGATGCGCTGTTGGTGCTATTCTAACTGACAGGCTTCGCCAACCGGCGACGCCCCTGGGGGGATTGCGCGTATCCGAGGCTCTTCGCACAGCAAAATTCGACGATTAGCACAGCTTCTTACGCCTGCGCATACACACTCCCACACAGGTTTGCGCACGAGGGTCTGATGGAAAAAGCCTGCCAACCTCAGCTTCAGACACGTACGCGCGTGCACACCCGCACAGGTGCCCGCAGGCACACGACCGCACACGCACTCGCGCACACGCACTCGCACACACGAACGCACACGAGCGCGCGCGCACACCCAGTGGGCGAAGCCGCAGCCACCTTTGCGCCCGCGAACCCTCTAGGCTTTTCAGCGTACTCCACTACAAAGTCCTGATACTTGAAGAAGCCATATAAGCCCAGGTGGTGCTAGAAATGTCGGCCGCAAGCCGACATTTTGAACATCACCAAAGGATTTGCATCTTTCCTGCTGAGGCTCTGCTGATGCTAATGATGCTTGACCAAAACTTGTCCTCAAAGTTTGTCTCCATTTTCAATGCTTTATTTTCAGGCGTGTTTCTTGGCTCCATTAAAGATCCACAGAGGCAGGAAAGTCTCAAAATACGCTGCATAAAAACATCGGTGCCGCCACACCGAAACACCCATGAATTGTTATCTACTGGGCAGGCTGGTGTCCAGCTCACCTGGACCTGTTGGCACAGGTGGCATGTATGTCCTCATGCTGACTCAGCAGCCTGATGACACTCTTGCCGCTACAAATGCCAATGGCCGAGGTCAAAGTTGGCTTCAATCTCCTTGCTGTGCGCATCAGCTTTAGTGAGCGTGCTCGACTCAGAGTTGGTCATGCAACAAGTGATGCAAACAAGAAATTACCCACTATCCAAAGGATCGTGGATGATGCAACATAATTATTGGGCAGAGCACCCTGGCCACTCACAAAGCACCAGGAAATGTGTGAACAAATGCAGGATGCTGAAGAAAAACAAGATCACTCGAATGAGGGAAATTCATGGAAATTCGAGTAGGTGCTGTAGAATGGAGATCAGAGCCCGTCATCGAAGCCATGTATTTCCATGTATTTCAATTTGTTTCTAATATTCAGACGCCTTCCAAAGTAAACAAAGAAAGGCACAGGGCGCTTGACTACTTGACTTGCTGAGGTGCTGCGAGTAGTGTGTGGCCACCACACATGGGTGATGCCGACGATTTTGGCACCGTTTTTCGCCGTGGTTCTTTGGTTTTAGCTTTAGGACACCCTGCTGGATCCCTACTGTACCAGACCGAGTTTAGGTTTTGTTCCGGTTCCTGTGTGTTGACTTCGGCATCATCGAGAGGGGAGCGAGGACTAAATCATCTGAAAGAGCACGGAACCGGCAGAATTGCCTGGTACACCCCAGGAAAACCCATTGGTAGAGAACATGTGTAGGTGTGCCTGTGTCTCTCTTGAAATGTTCTGTGCGGGTTCCTAGTGTTCTCAGCCAGGCCCAAGTGGTTGTTGGAGCGGTCATGGGCTCTGCCATGGCTGTTGCTTGGATGCTACTTGGAACGGTGAGGGCGCCCATCCTCAGCCCCAAGCGGATGCGGGACGAGTCAAGAGTGGACGAGTCACCGGTGACAGACCTGACAGACACCGGTGGAGACGGGACCCACAGTTGATAGCTCTCACTATTTGGGGGAATCACTCAGGCAAGGGAGGGCAAGCCAACTGAACGCCCACAACGGTTGCAACATGACGATGAAATACAATGAACAGAGATACTCTACTGAGTGTTCTGCCTACGAACTTGATTGACTGATGGACTATGACTGTGGCCTGAAGATGTCTAAAGAAGTTCATGTTTATGGCCACTCATGTGTTCCTTTCCCAGGCAATCGTACGGTGGAAGAATGACATGTCAGTAGATTCAAGCCCGGTTCATCCCATGTGACTGGCTTTCAACACAATCATCACCGTTCAGGAGATGATCCGAAGGCCCAGCCATCTGGCAACCTTGGTGCGCCACCAAGCTGGACCAAGCTCCAACGAGCAGCTGTGTCCAACATCTTGGAAGACCCTAGAAACCAACAACGAGCCGCGCTTTCTTCCGCATTCTTGTTGGGTGGTAATTTGAAGATATTGGAAGATCGGCACCTCAACGTGCTCGCACGCTTATGACAGGCTCTTTTTGCGCAAAGCATATTTGCTTTCTCTGTGATAAACGAAGATCTTCCGTGCACATGATGCATGCTGCCTAAAGATCAGATCAGCAAGAAGGCGGTGGCCCACCGATCATGACCCTTGGTTCGTGAAACAAAATAACCCTTTACTTTGGGCAAGAGATGAGAAACAAAAAATTACAACATGATCACATTCTTTTTGTTGGGGTTTTGGGTTCCCATTCTAAAGTCTCTTTCCGCAGAATAATCAGGCCCACCGTAGTCAATGTCTTGTTGTCCGTGCAACTCACTCTGCTGGACGACGAAGAAGGCTTTTGGGGGGTTTGAGGTCGTGTACACCTTGTACCTTTGCGGAAGCGCAGCCAACTCAGTACGTTTCTTTTGTTGCACGTGGTGGCTTTACCTCACACTTTCACCCCTGTTTTTGGAATATTATGATGTGTAATGCTGTAGACTGTATAATAGTTTCTCCAACTGACTGCTGCCAGTGATCATTTGATACGGTATTTCATGTCGTTAGTCAAGGGCTCTTCCGCAGAAAATTTGCAGAAGTCAACTTTGACCAAGAGGTAGTCTTCCTGGCGAAGGGCATCAAGAAAAGCCGGAGAAGACACAAAGCCACAATTGCAGCCTCAGGCGATTAGGAAGCACTTGCTACTACAGGAACGAACGCATTCGGTTTGATATTGCAACGACATGCGCATGTCATACAAAAAGAAGATTGCTTGAACATGAATCCAGGAAGGGCAACCCAATGCCTGGTTGCTTGTCCTGTCTCGCTTGAGTCCATGCCCCAAAAAGCAGAATGCATGCAACTAGTGCCAATTCTTGCAGTGCTGTTGACAATGTTACTGCTGGTGGTGGAGGTCATGGTGGTCAAAGTGCCTGTGCAAGTGCAAGTGCCGTGCATCACCGACTTTCTTACAATCTGAAAGACATAGTTGGCGCATGTTGGCACCAAACAAAGAGCTGAAGAGAAGGGGCAACAAGGGGCTGTTCATGCACCGTAGTTCGCTGTGCTCTTGCACTTGGCCCACTGGAATCTTGACTGTGGAGAGATAGTGAACAAAAGACAGACAACGATTTCTGACGTGAACCATTCTGACGTGAATATGTTTGCACACGATTTCACAAGTTCATGAAAGGGAGGCCCGCTCGTACTTTCGGTGGATGGTATCGGGCCTGTCCCTACAGAGTGAGCATTGGCTTTCTGCCACAAGGTCCCACCCAGTCCCACTCATCCACTCACCACCCCACAGCAGTCCGTCCACAGCAGGATGTTTACCGATCCCACCAGACGGCCGTGAAACGAGTCGCCTCATGTGGTGCCGTGTGCGCCATGCGCCGCTGCAACGCTCGCTGGTGCTGCGAGCGGGTGCCGCATGTTCTCTTTTGGGCCGACTCGAGGGGGCTCGGAATATTTGGACCATTTATATATATATATATATACGTGCATGAGTATATTATTCATTACAGTAAATTTTATGAGTAACGCACTCATTAGCTTTGTTTTCTGGATTCATTCTCCCATTATTTATGATTTGTTTAGAAAAAGCCTGCTGATGGCTGCACTCAGTAGGAAAATGACTCTGAGAAGGCTTTGTCAATACTATCCTCATCAAGTATAGTTCTCTTTTCTTTGCTGTCTATGCGCCCTCAAGGCCTTTGGCTCAAAACCCCCATTCTTCTAATTAGTTGTTTACCTGGAGGTTTTGTGATAGCCTTTGGTGTTTCTTTGGCATTTGCGGAGTATTTAGTGTGAGGCTTGCTCACTTTCTTCCTGTCAGTTAGTTATGTAGGATTTTTGTTGGACGTATCAATAACAGGGAAACCCTCCACCGACTAGGGTGAATGTCCAATGTTTTTGCGCGACATGTCCAATGGCCGCCAGGAACATTGAGCCCAAAGCTTGGCTCAACGCCCAGTTGGCGCGTTGCTTGCCGAGGTGCCGCTTTCGAATCGGCGCCAAAAAGCACTCCGCCGGAGCCGAGTATTTCCTACAATACAATATAGTATATTTATATAATACAATCTGTAATATGAAAGGTAGCCTCAGTATGCCTCAGTAGCCTCAGCTTTCACTTTGGTTTAAGCAAACATTGTCGCTGGATTACGTGATTACTTAAATATCCGACATAATTGTCATCCATGATTCTTCATGATGGGGGGACTCCGGTATATACAGGCAAAGCACACAGCCACAATCACCTACATCACAACGATCTTTACCAAAGTTGGAGTGATACCTAAGGGCTGGACAGGGTTCAGTAGCACTTCCATATGGTCTCAGCGTCTCAGCTACTTGAGTTCACTTGGCTTTAGAAGAAATGTATTGTCACAAGACAATCACACAATTGTGTGCAATTGTCATGACTTTGGATCGGGGGTGGAGTGAAGGCCGAAGCTGTACTAGCAACTAGTAACATCATTGCGCGAGTAGGTCAGGCAAATTGTGTGGCCATGTCCTGGCACCACCACTGACATCTTTCCACAAAACTCGCTGCCTTATGTGCCAGCCTTTTGTTTCGGGTGGCTTTTGACATCTTTTGACTCTGTCTTTTGCTGCACCAAGTCGCGCTTTCGGTTGAGATGGGTCGAGGAATTGTTGGATTCGGACCAGGAAGTGACAGGAATGGGACTTTGCGAATTGGAAGACTACAGATTGGTTGCCTCCGAAGCCTCAAATCTCGGTCCAAAGGGCTCAAATACAGGTAGCTTCTTGTTACTAGTAGTATGGCCAGGAGCCCCTAGTAGCTTCTTGTTACTAGATGTTACTAGTAGAGGCATCTTCACGACGGACAACCTGCCACATCTCCATGCCGACCGCGCGACGGACCGAGTGCTGACTGCGGATCGATCGACGAGTCCGGCCGATCTCCAGGCCTCGCAGCATCGCTTCGATCACCGGAGCAAGAGGTAGGGCCTCCGGTCACGGCTCTGGAGACGGAGAAGGATTGGAAGGAACACTGCCAAAGGGTTCTATTGTGCATTCAATTGGATTATTACACATTCTTGTGGATTCTGTAGAATGTTCAGATTTCATCAGAACTTCGGGATTGTTGGATTGTTGGTGCATACTTGACGCTGCGATTTGGGGATCGTTTGGAGCTTAAGCAGGTAGGGCACACTGTTTGTTATGACTTTGTGCAGAGACGTTCAGGGCTCCGGCGAAAAGGCCAAAGCACTTCGAACTGCAGAAGGCCTGCCTGCGATTTCTGTGGTCGGTGTCGATCATCATTGTTTGCCTTTCCAAAGACTCAGTTTGCCGATACCGCCGATACCATTTGAGGAACGTCAAAAACTATTGTTTGATGTTCTACAATAATGAGTTTTTCTTTGCTTAACTGTCAACTGTAGCTTAGCAATGCCACCATGTCAGGTTGCTTACAAGGCTTTCCATCTGTTGCATTGCAAACAAAAACCTGAAGAAAACAGCATGTTTGAACTCTCCATAGCAGCCGGGTCAGTCTGCATAGCCTGAGGTAATGCCTGGCAGCTGATTCGTTCCTTGTGGCCACGAGAAGCCTCTCATCAGGCTGCGTTGGTGGGAATTAATTAGTGGAGCCCATCGATAAGGCCTAGATACATAACCCAAAGATACAAGACGCAATCTTCTAGGCGTATTCATCAGTGATTCGTGCCATTTATCTCAGGTCAAAAGATGTAGGACGAAGTCACCAAACTCACCTGGCTGTGACAGTTGAGAAATGGATGGATGTTGCCCACAACTCATGATTGTCCTCACTTTGTGTGAATCCAAACGAGAACACGTCACTGGGAGAGTCAGCTTGATGGTGTATTGAAAGCCAAGCCTGACGATTTCTCATCAATGGCATCAGGAGGCATTTGCCCTTTTCACCCTGCCAGTTTCGATCATATTAGAATCAGAATGAATATGAATCATATTATTAATGCAAATTTATTGTATGAGCAAGGACTTTTACTTGGGCTTAACTAGAGCAGTCTACAGCACTATTTGTTTGTTCGACATCAGTTCTCACTTGAGAGAGTATAACCCTCCCCATACTAGAAACTAGTATTCGCATGTCCGTTTTTCTGGAAGCATGCCCAATCCCCTGTAAAACGATAAGGAAGAAAAAAACACGATAACCCCCCATGACTCTTGTGGAAAACCCTTCACATGCGAGACGTGGTGTGAAGAAAAAGCGTGCGCACACACAAACAGAAAACCTACTACTGTTCCAAATTGTCAGGGTCAATGCATGACTGCTTTTGGTGGGTATATTTTTGGACAGAGGTGGGAGGGCTTGGACCGCTGTAGCCTTGTGCTACAAGGCATTGTTGTGCTGCATGGTTTTCCACCTTGCACCAGGCATGAAACCGATCACAAGACGATAACAAACACGATAACACAGCAAGCATAAAACACCTTTCCGTAGGCAGGCCACCAATGTCTTCATGCCTGCAAGCTTCCACGCACCACATGCATGTAGTGCACGCACTACATTATATTACATTTGTTGCAGTTAGTCAACGTGCTGTAAAACGATAAGGAAGAAAAACCGATAACGTCAAAAGTGGTATAGGGAAAGGTAGAGTTTTTTTTTTTTTTTACACAACCTGTGGTAGTGTAAAGATGTGTAAACATTACATCATGTGGGGAAGGGTCAAAACCTGGAGCCCTGGTCCACCATGTAGCGAACGACCTAGGTCAACCGGTGGGTCTCCTGGTGCCAGCTCCCCACAGCCAATGTGATCAGTTCGACTTGAAACTGACGAACGGATCCAACCGTCTCAAAACGTTCGTCCAGGGCCGCATTGCCTTTGCCGCTGCTGGCTTGGTGGCCGGCAAGGCTTTGGCCATCTTGGCTCCCCTACAGTGCCTCGGATCGCTCGGTCGATCGGAGTGCTCGGCTTCTTCTTGTTTTGGTGCCATGGAACTGGAGAAGCGCCAAGCATTTCGGAACTTTTCGCAATAGAACCAGGGGTTTCTCGTGGGATGCGAGCGATTTTAGGGAACACTTCCTCCATCGTTTGGGGTGAACGAGGACTGCTCCACCCATCCGTTCCAAATTGTTTCTTGGCTTTGAGTGAACTTAGAGTTTACTTGCATGAGTTGGTTGTAGTATATCACCTGATGTATGCCAGCTAGATTCAGGGTATTAGTGTTCCCTTTTCTAATCTTAAACCGTATTTGTTCGCGAGGATTGGACACATCTACTTTGCTCTCCCCTGCGATGTGTGATAAATCGAAGTGCTCAACTCAACAACCCTCCTACGTCACACAAGTGTCCTGCGAAATTGTTTCAGGTATAGTGCCAGCCACATGGATTATACTGATTATACAATTTATACAGATAGGGCTTGGGGGGACCGGCCGAAGCAGGGCCGGCAGCGCCGAGCAACTGGAGCGCAATTTCTTTGCAAAAATGCTGGCTTCGTCGAAGGTGATCCTTACACACTCGCCTTTTCTCTGGGAGCCTTACCCAGACCTGTGTTCAAGGATGCACTCGGCTCAGGCTGGGCCACCTGATTGATGCCCTCGGCTCCGGAGCAGACTCGCTACCCGTCGGTTTGCTGGCAGCACCTTGCCAGGAACGAGCGAAGGGTCGTCGTCGGTTGGTCAACATTCATTCTTAAAGACATTGACCCAACCGACAGAAAGAATGCTCTTCAGTGATGTCTAGTGCACAGTCAAATTCGTGTTTCTTGACCATGGATGTATCTTGAAAGCTGAGCAAGTATGATTCAGCTTGTCCGAGCACGCGGGCCCTTTGAGCCAATGGTGAGCCGGAACTCGTTTCTCGTAATGAGGCCTATGGTCTCGCGCGATTGTCGACCAGCGACCCTCGGCTTTGAAGCTGTTGGAGACCCGATCCTCAAAATGAGCACTCTCCGAAGCATTGGATGAATGTTCAGGCGTGGCTTTCGGACACCATGGACCCTTGGTTTTCCCGTTGAGTTTAGTTCGTTTCCACATGTTCCCGTCATTGACCGTTTGTATGCCAGGCGTAAACCAGATTCACCCTTGGGAAGCCACAAGATCCACAAGTTTGGTCATGAGTCATAAGATGTCATAAGGCACTTATAACTTATAAGCTTATAAGGATACTAATATATATATATATAACTATATGCAGTATGTAAAACGAAAACTAAGGATGACACAAATGGGTGGAATGGTCCTGCGCGCGCGTTCCGGCCTCGAGGCCTTCAACGAATTGAGATCCGCACTCTTTGCCACCGTCTCGCAGAGTAGCTGTCGAGCGCTAGCACGACGAAGCTTCCAGCACCTTTGGCTAATGGAATCGAAGCACGGTGAAACGAGCACAACTGCTTCAGATTCGTTTATTGGCCCGAATGTTGACTTGCTGCCCTTGTGGGGAGGCAGGGGAGATCCAGGGGTTTGACCCAGTCAGTTTTGCCCGAGGATCAATGGGTCAATTTTTAAAAGAGATTGACATGAAGTGCATTCGATAAATGACGTGATCCTTATTTAGGGTCAATTATCTTTGGGCTAACGCTGTCAAAACGTATTCAGAGGTTCTTTATGGTTCTTCACTGCTTGCTTGGCCACATGCCGAACATTTTTTTCTCGGGTGGGATTGGACGGGGTGATACCACCTATCAATTTGTTGTTTCTTCACCAGGGTCTCATGCAAATTCAAGACACACAGACACACAGACACACTCGTCACTCGGGTTGTGCTGATGACCCCAACATGCATGGTGTGGGAGGGCGGGAAGACTGTGTGCATCTCGAGTCAAGTTGGTGAGGTGGTAGTTGTGGGGCTCGTCATGGTCCCTAACAAACCTAAAGCACCAGACTTTCAAAACTGCCAGCCGAGGCATTTGCATAGCCTCGATGCGCCTCTCAGCTGCATGTAGCATAATGTCATCATGAAGCGGCCCAGAGAACAGGCGCACTCGGCGCACTCACCAAAAACGCGAAGTTCTTGGGTTTTCATGGGAATTCAGCTCCAGACCCAACAATGCTGGTTTTCAGTCTCAAGATCACCGCGATCCCAGCGCGAAACACCCGACGCCAAGAATCGACGGCAGGGGCCGCTCTCCAGAACCATCCACGCTTGGTGTGAAATCCGAAGTCGCATCAACAGTTGGTATAGCTTCAACAGTTGGTGTCACATCTCTTTTGCACATGCGGAGTCGGAGTTTACGTGCCGTAATCAATGCCCCCGTTGCAGAACAGCGCAACCTGGCGCAGGCCTTCGGCCCCAAACTGGTTAGGCCTTCAGGCCAACACGGACCCCTTTCTTCTGATGCGTCGATAGCGTCCTGCATCTGAGGAGCTATCTCTTGTCCAGCAAACCTGGTGCTTTGAATGCCCGGGACTCGGGCACGTGTGGGAAAGATGATCAAAAAACGCCTCAGAAGAACGACCATGCACAACCAGTGCTCTCAGGTTGTAGTGAACCGGGCCACCAAATCATTGACGCAGGCACTGTGGTTTCGCTTTTGTGGTACTGTTGCTGCATGCAGTTGTGCTTGCTGACACAAGCAATTCAAGCTAAAGAAAAAGTCAAAGAACCCTTCACCAGCTCAGTCGAGATTGTGGCAACAACGTTTCGAAAGCATCTAAATATAGGAGGGTGGGAGGCCATCGCTATTTAGTTGGAGGCCGTCCCTATTAGGTTGGAGGCCATCGCTACTAGGTGAGAGGCCATCGCTATTAGGTTGGAGGCCATCGCTATTAGATTGGAGGCCACTACTATTAGGTTGGAGGCCACCGCTATTACGTTGGAGGCCATGGCTACTAGGTTGGAGGCCATCGCTATTAGGTTTGAGGCCATCGCTACTAGGTTGGAGGCCATCGCTATTAGGTTGGAGGCCATCGCTATTAGGTTGCAGGCCATCTCCATTAGGTTGGAGGCCATTGCTACTAGGTGGGAGACCATCGCCATTAGGTTGGAGGCCATCGCTATTAGGTTGGAGGCCATCGCTATTAGGTTGGAGGCCATCTCTATTAGGTTGGAGGCCATTGCCATTAGGTTGGAGTATGTCTTCTCAACACTGCAGAGGTGCTGAACATGCTGTTGTTCAATGTCATGCCGATTGCTGTGGAATGTGCTATGGCGCTTGGGGTGATGGCCACGTTGGCGGGATCCTCCGCAGAATTCGATTCGGAGAACGTTGTTTCATTGGATCATACTGTTCGGAGTCCAGTACCTATATCGTATTATTACATTGTTGATATAGTTGTATAGCTGAGCTTGAGTTGTGCTGCGGGTTTGATTGATCCTGGTTAACGTGAACAATTCCATGCACTGAGGACCAGGGTGTGCACTTGCAGCTTTCAATACCCTGCTTGCCTATGTGGCAGCAATCTCAGTTGCTCTTGCTTCTTGGGTCTAGAGTCTACAGTCTTGATTTCAGCAGCTGCGCGTTCACTGCATTCACCACGCATGATCAACTGATACTCAGTCAGTGACTGGATTTGCGGGAAATAGTATTTGTGGTCTTGTGTGGAAGTGGCGAGCTGGAGTTGTTGTTTTCTCGAGTGGTTCGAAGTGGCGGTGGGCTCGGGTCTTGTGTAAAACTAGATGTCCAACTTTTTATTGTCTTACAATGGAGGACCATTTAATCTATATGTTTTCTATATTTTTTAAAGGATTTTTGTTGGTTTCTCGTGGCTTTTGGCTTTCGTGGCTTTTGTGGCTTCCGTGGCTTTTGGCTTTGGTGGCTTTCGTGGCTTTTGGCTTTGGTGGCTTTCGTGGCTTCTGTGGCTTTTGGCTTTCGTGGCTTTTGTGGCTTTTGGCTTTGGTGGCTTTCGTGGCTTCTGTGGCTTTTGGCTTTCTTGGCTTTCGTGGCTTCTGTGGCCTTTGTGGCGTTTGGCTTTTGTTGCTTTCGTGGCTTCTGGCTGTTTGCTACTAGTCCATCTTTGGAGGAATGTGAAGTCCGAGGCACAGCTACCAGATGTAAGACGGTCTTGTTTTCATCCAGACGATTCCTTTGGTGCTTTTGGCTTTTGGTGGCTTTTCGCTTTTGGTGGCTTTTGATGACATTGTCTTTCGGTGGCTTTTTTTGCCTTTTCGTTGCGTCGGCAGGCTTCTGTTGGCTTTTCGTGTCTTCATTCACTGATATGGTGTAAATATGCCTGGCTGTTTGCCAGCTACGACAGCTCCCAAATCTGTCTACCTATCCATCTATCTGTCTATATCTATCTGTCTTTCTATCTGTCTGTCTATCCATCTATCTATCTATCTTTCTTTCTTTCTCTTTGGCAGCTGTTCTCCTTTCTCTTTTTGCTTTTGCTTTTCCATTTGTTTGCTTTGCAGAGAAGAAACCAAACAAAGAAGCAAGCAAGCAAGCAAGCAAGCAAGCAAGCAAGCAAGCACGAGCTGCTCACCTTTGGATCTGGTGTGCTGCTGGGGGGGGCGCTGCGCCCCCCCAACCCCTCCCGCGCCACGAAATCTGCACTTCATCTCCGACACCCGCGCCTGCCACGAAATCAATATTTTAAGGTGAACTCCCCGGTGCAAAAAATTCTAGCCAAGCAAAAATGCCTCCTGTGCTAGTTCTCTTTCTCTTTGCTGTTTCTCTGCTAACTGCACCAAGTTGTGGTGATAGGTAGGAATTTCTCTGACACCTACACTATTTCAATGTATTTGCCAGCTACGACAGCTCCCAAATCTGTCTACCTATCCATCTATCTGTCTATATCTAATTGTCTTTATCTATCTATCTGTCTGTCTGTCTGTCTGTCTATCGATCTATCTATCTATCTATCTATCTCTCGATCTATCTATCTATCTATCTGTCTGTCTATCGATCTATCTATCTATTTCTTTCTTTCTTTTGTCTGTCTTTCTTTCTGTCTGTCTTTCTTTCTTTCTATCTTTCTTTATTTCTTTCTTTCTTTCTTGCTTTCTTTCTTTCCTATCTACCTATCTATATATCTTTCTTTCTTTCTTTCTTTCTTTCCTATTTCCTACCTTCGTATCTATCTATCTATCTATCTATCTATCTATCTATCTATCTATCTAT